CGAACGAGATGTTGTTGACGGATGCCGCAAATTTGGTTCCGTTGGGACCCTGGCAGCCTTGGGGTTGGTCACATGGACTAGTTCCAAGGCCAACTGTGAAAAAGACCTGTTTATCAATATTCCAGGGAACATTTGCAGGGTACTGTGGACTTGCTAAACTGCGTAGTTTTTTCGAGAAATTGGCGGCGAAGGATGTGTCGTTTAGAGCAGGTAAGGTGGGTCTGAAGAGTGGGAGTTTCTTCACTGAAATTGCAGTAGTGGAATTAAGTGACGTAGACTGTTCATATTCTACAATACCAGCGACGGTGGAGTTGTCAAAGGTTCCAGCTCCTGTGAAATATGGTGTAGCCAGCATGAGGAAAGTGGCAGCGGGGAATTGGGGCTTGGTCTTGAGAAGAACGTTAGTTGTTTGTCCAGGTGCAATTAGGATCGTATCTGTTTCGAAGGGTTTAACGTAATTTGCATCCGCTTCAACCACAGTGAGAGTGTGGTTTGCAATGCTGAAGAAGAGCTCGTCATTTAGTGCAGCGTTGATCAACCGAAGAAGGTAAGTCTTCCCTGCTTTAACTTTCAGCCTAAAAGTATCTGTCCAAAACATATATATATATATATATATATATATGTAGAGTTAATAATCAATGTGTTAGCTGTTGTTAATTATTATTACTAATTATACACAAAGTGTACCTTTAGTAGAGCAATTGTACAAAGGCCCCGGAAGTCCATTGATGGTATAGGCATCAGAGACATTTGGACCACCACCTGTTCGTAAAGCTTGGCTAATTATGGCCTCGGTGTCGGCATTGAACCATTCACCTGCACGTTAATTCAGAGTCTGGAAACTCATTCCTTGTTGCAGTAAATTTTTGTTGCAAAGTATGGGTAGTTAATTAATTACCAAAGATGATGGGGACTTCCTCGTACGGTTTAGCAAATGGATACGGGACGTGATGCTTGGGTAGGATGATTAGAGGACCATATGCAGTTGCTCTTAGCCAAGAAATGTGAGCGTGCCAGAACAGAGTTCCTCTTTGGCCAACAATGGTGTAATTGTACACATAGCTCTGGCCTGTTTGTATCGGGCATTGTGTTATGTACGCTGGTCCATCAGCCCAGCCGCTTCGAAGCTGCCGAATGCCATGCCTGTTTTACACAAAACCATCATCGATCGAGGTTTCTTTTTCTTTTTCGATCATAAACCTTACATTATCCACGAGTTGAAGAACTGGCTATAGGAAGATGAAATACGTACCAATGGATGGTAATGTTGTTTGAGACATGATTGTTGACTTTGATGAGGAGACGATCACCCTCCCCGGCAACAATGCGAGGCCCTGGAAATTGCCCGTTCACAGCCACCAGGCTCTTTGTGTGGCACAACCGCGTGACATTAAGCATGGTGATCTGCAAAAGATCGATGTCAACAACTTAAGGATACATGATGATGATGATGATGATGATGATGAACCAAAATGAATGCAATCTGATTAGTTCTTTCAATATTGCCATTTAACGTACATTGAGCTCATAATGCCGGGTTATGCCCAGTGCATGCTGAGGAAGGAGAAGAGACAGCGCCATCAAAGCAACGAAAATGCCCATCGCGCTACTACTCAAGGATGGTAGACTAGAAGCAGCCATTTATGGTTCTTGATCAGCTCCTCTGAAACCTGGTTTATATAGTAGAGAAGGTGGTGATACGAGTGTTTGGTTGATTAGTTGATGTAGATGGTATGGTTTAAAGAGGGAGTGAAACGTAGAAGGGCAAATTTAGAAAGATGTCCTCCTTCGACCAACTGTGGTTGGAAAACAACTTTAGAGTGCTACCAAAGACAATCTTCTTTCTTCGTGGTTTAAATCACATGCATAGGCTGATGAGCAAATTTCAAGCACTGGTTAATGCTTGATTTTGGGCTTAATTAATGGTACCTATCCTTCTCTTCTTTGTTTTGGCCACGAAGGCTCGCGATCATCATTTGCGTTGAATTCTGCCGAATATTTTAAGCGCGTGTGGAATGGATTATGGGGCGTCTCTAATCCTAGTTTTGTCCAGTCACGGAATGTGTATAAGATTTTCGATCAAGATTGTACCGATTTACGCTAAAATTGAACTAATTTATGCGACTGAACGGCAAAGTTCAACTGGAGAGGCCGTCGATCGACCCCGTAAAGATTGATCCGAACATACATGTGTTGACAAAAAAAAAAAAAAAGAGAGAGAGGCCCCTCGATCCATTTAGGATTAACGTACTAAATCAATTCTTTCAGTCAATTTATACGTGTTGTCTTGCGAATTTTCTGATCAGTACTTAGACTTTAAAGTGACTTGGGAGAGGTCTTGGTGTGGCATCCAAGATTATGGAATAAACAACACATTAAGTTTACCAAAAATAGTATTGAAAATAGGATGGAGAAATGGCTTTTCTTTTTTTCTTTTTTTCAGGGTAAAATACAAAAAAATCCCCTGTAGTAAATTTAATATACAGAAAAGCCCTCTGTAGTTTCAAAACATACAATACAACACCCTGTACTTTGAACTAAATTGTAAAAGTGACGGAATCCGTTAAAATTAACAGAAATAGAGGAAATGACCAAAATGCCCTTATATAATTAAACAAAAGACAGATCAAAAAAATCATTTGTTTTATTCTTTGGATAGAGAGAATTGAGGGTTAACGAGGAAAATAGGTATATTTGTTAAAAATTAGGTATAAAATTTTTTACCCTTTTTTTTTTAGAGTATGCTGCATTGATGGAGTAACTTTCTACGATTGGTTGGTGGCTATGGTGTCATAACACATATGGTGTCTGAAGTAATTAATTAATAAGAGCAGGGCCATTTCCAAGGGCGCTTTCCTCTCAAGCAAGGCTGAGATTTTGGTGATTGTCGTCTTATTTATTTGTGCTTTCTATAGAACTGTTAAAAACTCGAGTCCATGCATGGGTCTTCTAAAATTGAACGTGCCTCCAAAACATTTAAAAAAAAACAAGACTAGAGCTTGAGTGGAACACAAGGGACCTCCTCTGATGGTTCTTTAACTGCACCTACTACCAATTAATTAGCAAATTGTGAAAAATGTACAGGTAGATTCTGGGAGATTATCTTGCTTTATTTGTTGTTATGATCAGTCATCATATGTAGTATGTCCTACATCCTTACTTCCTACCACCCCCCCCACGAAATACATCTAGTCATGTTTAAAAAAAGTCCTACCATTAGGTCACGAATTTGATTGATCATGGTTTTTTCAGAGGAGTAATGATAGTTTTCTTGTAAGTTGCAACAACAGCAATACAACGCCTGATTTATATTTGCCACCTCGAATCCAATATGTAACAAGGAAAACAGAGAATGAACACAACGAGAAAAAAAAAAAAAAAAAAAGGCACAATCAAAGGAAAAGGCTAGAAATTCACTTGATGCAGTATAACTCAACAATGGGATTATCCCCGTGCGAGTGATGATTGAGGAAGAGACTTCCAACAGAAATAATTAAGCCTGCAAATAATTTCAGATTTTCCCTCGCCAGAACCGAGTATGGAGGTGCATGTAAATACACTAGCGAGAATCTCATTCTTCAATCACCCGAGATTCCTTACAGTTGGTATTTTCACAATCTCTAACAATAGGATTATCGATCTCTAGAGCTCATAAATCAACCTCAGGTTCCGTTTGATAAAACTGAATCTGAATTCTGAAGCCTGAATGTTGAAACAATTAATTTGTTAAAATTTAAGCACCGAAAAGAAATATATGAATGTCTGAATTTTAACGCTAAACCTATTTATATTGTTTTATATATATTTATAACTGAATGCTTAATAAGTTTAATTTGATGATTTTGCCCTTATATGTTTTCATTCAAACAAAGTAGAATCTATGATTTAATTAGTTTAAAAATATATGAATGTCTGAATTTTAACGCTAAACCTATTTATATTGTTTTATATATATTTTATAACTGAATGCTTAATAAGTTTAATTTGATGATTTTGCCCTTATATGTTTTCATTCAAACAAAGTAGAATCTATGATTTAATCAGTTTAAAATTGTTAGGTATGAAAATGGCAATATTTATTTTTAAATTCAAATTAATATAAAAGATGAAATATATTATATGAGGAGTACGGAGAAGGTGTGAAAGTCATTAAAAAGGAAAAAAAGAGAAACAAAAAATTGTTGGATAGAGAATATCATGTTGTTTAATTAGCTAAGAATTTTGAACATAATTAACAAACAAGGGTAGATTTGATAAGATAAGATAGTTGAAGTAATTCTATTGATTCTAATCAGAATTAAGCATTCACTTAGGATTCTTGTGCTGAAAAAAATACACACAAGTTCAACAGATGAATTTTCATTTATCAAACACTCAAAACATTTGAATGTCTGAAAAAATTCAGATTCAGCACTTTTTTATGTTATCAAACAGACCCTTAATCTCCCAATAACTAATGCTCAAGCATCAATGAGTCCAGTTGTGTGCTTTCCCATATAGTGGCCTATCATGCCATTCTAATTTAAAAATTTAAAGATACTGTTTGATGCTTTTTGTAGATTATACAATTCCAAAGGCCTTTCCTGGGAGACCCCTCAATTGTCCTCCCCCCCCCCCCCCCCCCCAAACCACAAAAGAAAACAAAAAATTATAGAGTTATTCTCAGAGCTCAATTAACAGCCCCAGTTCTAAAGACTCAAGCTGATTTGTGGCATATGAGCTTTTGACAAGGACGCCCTGCTCAGAGGTTATGTATGCACCACTAAAAGTTTTAAGGAAAATATCTTTGCTATGGTCCTATCAGGGGATACTCTCCAGTCCAGGTAGAAGAGAATTCCTTACCTTTCTGGTCACCCATGAGCAGCAATGAAATGTGAAAAGCATTTTTCCGAAGCTCAAACTCTCACTGGTAGTTGGAAATTTGGAAGCAGATATTCAGTATACTAAGTAAATGGACCAACGATATAGATAACTAAATTTAACAGCCTCCACAAGCATTTGATAACAACAAATCTATAATGGAAGTTGAAATTCCTAAACAAAAAGGTGAGCCGGGGCCATCATTTCTGACAAATGTATGCTATGCAATATACAAATTACTATTGCTATTACCAGACTTTTCTTATCACTAAGTAAACCAAAGAAGCCTACTCAGTTAATGCTTCCCTTTTGTGAAAAGCTTTTTCTCATAATGAGATCTCCAACCCTGCGAAACATTGTTCTCCTTCTTCGGTGGTTTCTATCACTATCTGAATCATCGAAGTTACTATTGTCTAGATGATCTAAATCTTCTGACATTGGTGTATCACCATCATCTGTAAAGACAGAAGAAGACTCTTTCCGATGATGAGGCACTAGTCTTGGACTTCGGGGTTCTGATCTTGGCGAATCAGTTGAACTATCAAATATTGAACCCTTGAGCGCCTCTGCCTTCTCAGGATCCTCGTGACTAATAGTCTGGTCGGAATCTTCAGTGTCATTTGAAAACTTCAGTTCCTTGAGATTGAAGCTGAAATTCTTTCTCACAGGTTTCGTCTCATCTTCAATGTTCCCAAGGTCAAAACTTTGGGACCTCAAGACCCCATCCTCAGTCTTACTTTGAGTTTTACGATCTCTTGTTGCTATAGAAAGCAGTTGCTTTAACTCCTTGACATTTTCTTGAGCTGCAACCTCATTGATTCTCAGCCGTTCATTTTCCTGAGTGAGAAAATACAGAGCTTCATCCTTTTCGGCCAGAATATCCTTGAGGTGAGAATTTTCATCTCTTGCAAGTCCAGCAGCAGCTTTTGCTGCATTAGATTCATTGATAGCCTGCTTGAGTATATCTCTCAGTTTGTAGCTCTCGTCCCTTGCTGCTCTCATCTTATGTTCTGCCGCTTTAAGAGACTCAGAAAGTCTGGCGTTCTCATGTTGAGCAACAGCCCTTTCCTCTTCAGCTCTTTTTATGCAGCTCACAAAGCCCATTTCCTTTCCATTCCATGCCAAAAGTGTTTCTTCAGCTTCTACCCTTAATCTATCTGCGGTGTTTCTGTGCAGCTCTGCTTCTTTTTTGGCTTCATCGAGAAGCTGTTCATACCTTTCTTCAGTGCTCCTTACAATAACCTTCAGTTGTTCTGCTTCTCCCTTTACTTGTTCTAGTTGCAAATATGCAACGCTGAGTTTCTCTTTTGCCTGATTGGATTCCGTTGCAACTTCCTTTAGTACCAGTGCTAAATCATCCATGGCTTTCTTGCTCTTTTCTTCAGCTTCAATGGCCAATTTCAGCTCATTTTTCAGTAATTGCATCTCATCAAGTGAAGTCTTAGAATTTGACAAGGCAATATTAGCATCCTTCTTACCTAGAGACAGATTCTGCTTTGCCAATTTTTGCTCAGACCTTGTACTCCCAGCATCCCCTATCAAAATTTCATTTTCCCCCTTTCTGTCAGGTCGATTACATTCACTACTATTTTGCTTGGAGGGTTCCTGAGATGACACGATCCTCTCATTTAAAGCAGCAATTTCTAGCTTAGATTCTTCAAGTTCAATCTTAATCTGCTCAAGCTGTTTTGTCTGGGATGCTAATGAATCGAGCATTTTGGCTTCAGACACATTTCCTCTTTGAACTTCATTTTCTAGTTCCTCAATCCTCTTTTCACCTGCAGATAGTAAATCCAATGCATAAGCCTCCGACCCCTTCACTTTATCAAATTCCTCTTTCCATCTGGCTAATGATGCATCTCTCTCAGCCAATTTAAACTCAAACTGTTTCGCCTCTTGGAGCTCTAGCTTCAAACACTCAATCTTCTCATCCTTCAACTTCAATTCTTTCAGTGAATTAGCCAGCAATTCCTTCAAATTCTTAACTTCTGTCATTAGTTCCCCTGTCTTCCTAGGGGACAATACCTCATTAACCTTCATATTGGCCTCATAAACTAATCGTTTCGCCTCCCTGAGTTCATTGAATGCTCGACTTCTTTCATCCTCAGCAAAATCTAATTGTTCCTTTGACGTCTTCAACTCATCCTCGGCCTGCCTCATTTGTTCTTGCATGGTCGAAACTCTATTTATCCGATTCTACACCAAGAAAATTTAACAAACCCCTCATCAGTTATACATAAAACAGCCTATCCTAGAAACATCAAAAGACAAAAAAGAGACAACTTGTATTACAAATTGTCCCAAAACCTCGGATAAATTGGCAACCTTGGAGGGATATCTGTCAACAGATCTTCTTCCAACAGGTTTAAGGGCGCCGGAATCAATTTGTGAAGCTAAAGCATCACCTCTACAAAATTTGGATGCTGAGAGGGTCCTAGAAAGAACTGATGGATGATTCTTTTGTCCAAAATCAGCATTCCCATATCTAGAAACAGCATATATATTTATACAAATCAAATCCAAACTCATAAAAAAGACAATCTTTAGTTATCATTACATCAGTCAATAAATCAATATCTGCATGCCAACAAAATAGACCCCCATGAATTCACATATATCAATGTATCCAAAAATCAGAATATACCACGAGTCAGAGAGAAAGCAATAGATCGTCAGAAATGGAGTAAAAGAAGAAAAAGTTAACCAGATAAGCGCATAAAGGAGCGGAAAAAAAAAAAAGACTTGAAAGGATAATGATTTTCTGTTATTACCTTGATGATTTGGACCGTAACATGTTGAACCTCGGAATTGTAGGAACCACAAATCTTTGGAAAATCAATTGGAAATATTGGGACAAAAAAATAGCACCAAGAATAGGTCCAGCTCCAAACTCTCTGTTTTAGTCTGTGTGTGTGTGTGTTAGAGAGAGTGTCTTCTTTCTTTCTCGTTTTTTTCCCCTTTCTTTCTGGTTTTTATTACAAAAGTCCGAAGTTGGCGGGTAGTCGTTTAAGGAGGTGGAGGTGGCAGTCTGCCGTAACGGCAAAAGTGAGATTGAAAAACAAACTACTTACAGAGCTTTTGTTGGGGAAAAGAAAAAAAAAAAAAGGGACAAGTGGATGTTCGTGGGACGGTAAGGGGTTGGCTGATTTGGGAAGAAATGTACAATGGCTGATGAATTCAAAATTTTGACTATTAAAAAATTATTTGCTCAGTTGTTTTCTTGGTTATTAATCCAAATGGAAGCTGCATGGAGTCTGACTTTGTCTAGGGGCCGGCAAACATGACCTTGGTTTACTCAATGCATTTGATTGTTGTCCAAAACTCCACGTATTGTATTGAGTTTAGGGTCTAATTCCACTTTGGACCCTTCATATTTTCATCAATTTTCGATGTGCACCCACAAGCCCTAATTCTGACAATTTGTACCATGGAGGTATTAGCCCGGTCCCAAATCACTCCAATCCCTCAATTATTAGTAAATGGCCGCGAACAATTCCTTTATGTGTATTTCTTAGGCATGAAAACTGGTGGATGTCACGTGTAGTAGTAGGGGTGCTTTGAAGTCCTTCGATAATTTTAGGGTCCAAATGACTGGAAATAAATTTGGGTATACAGCGAGAATATGCAAAAGTTTTAGGGAACAAGTGAAATTAGTCATGTGATTAAACTATCAGGATGATTAGACCTTTGATGCAATATTGGAGAATTAGGTGGTTCTTGAGAACTGGTGGATGATTTAAGTATTAGTGAGTTGAACATTTTCCTAGAAAAAAAAAAAAAAAAAAAAACGGCGTGGACCTGTAAAATCACAAAGGCCACTTTCAACTTTGAAGACTTATTTAATGGCATACACTTGTAGATTATGTAAAAGCCAAATTGAGTAATAATGTCTGACTGATACTCCAATAACCGGCGTGAATCGCATCATCATCTCACTTGTAATAATGCACCCTTAATTGTAAAGTGTTTCTGTGCCTTAGAGTCTTACATTATCAATGGTTAGTTAACACGACTTAGGGTGACTTTGATAAAACTGAAATCTATTAAATTATTATTTTATTAAGTATTAAATCAAATACATTTGAGTATATATTACATTCAATAATAAGTGAATAGCTTATTACTTATTTTTAGAAGCAAGTTTTGTTTAGAAAATCCAGTGTCATTTAATTAATTTAAATGTTCAATTTTTTGTTATCAAACGCGTCTGCCTGCACATATTAAAGATCTGAATATATTAAATTCAAGTACTGAATTTTTGATTATCAAACAGAACTTCCTCAGTAAGGGCAGTTGGAGTTCTCCTAATTGTAAGTGATAAATTGCATTGTAAATGTATAAATTGATCTTGTGATATCCAAAATTGTAAGTGAAAACTGCATTATAAACGTACAAATCAATATAGACACCAAGAAAAAGAAAAAAAAAAGCTAAAACATCAATTAAGGAATTAACTATTTATTGTGTCTAGCTAGGCACGAAAAAAACCAAATGTCCTTGATTGGTGCAGTTTCGTTTAATTTGGCATTACTTACCCCTCAAAATTACCTTCCTTTATTGCACTATATACACAATTTATCCTCGTCGGTATTGGGTTGAAAGAAGGAAAGAATTTATATATAGTGTGAAAACTGTTAACCATCCAAGATGCTCATGTGTATTCGAATTCAGGAAAAAGTAAATGCAGAAACCAAATTCAACGCGGAATTAATAATAATATAAGAAGATTTTGTAACTTGTTATTGTCATTTCATTGACAATATTGGACCCTTGCAATCAATCGATCTGTTGCTCGCAAAAAAACCTAACTCCAGATTGGAAGAAGATAAAACACTTGGTAATTAATATTAAGCAGTCGTCATTTCATTAAATTAAACAGTTAAAAAAATCAACTAGTATAACATAAATTACCAGTGAGCTTATTTCAAGGCATCAGAATACATACGTTCATTTGAAAATGATATCCAATGCTGAGAAGTGACAATTGTTGAAACAGAGTGATAAATCTGACAAATGGAATTCCCCTTCTTCACTCTTTTAACCTCATATTTGGGCGCGGTTTGGTTGGATTAAACAATAATTACAGCACATATTCAGCATTTCAAGTTTTATGGACGATGATAATCTGTAACATGGTGTTCAAATCGCCTCTCTAGTCTCTGCTACATAAAAGATATGACTCGCTGGAAAGTTGCTTAGTTAAGCGCTCAAGCTATTGAGAGAAGGGTGTTCATCAAAGTTTTGGGAGTGTGAAAGAAAAGATTTTGATTTGTAGGCATACGTTGAAACTAGTTTAGTTGAATGCTTGATTTTTTATTTTTTGTCTACGGAGGAAGTATCCCAACTTGTATCAGACTAATTTCCCTGCGTCCGTGCATTCACCCTCAAAAATATACGAGACGATAAAAGAGACAGAGTCGACCACACGACCTGGGGCCTAACGAGGTTATCCCCCAAGAATGCATGCTTGATTAGTATTACAATTTCAGGATGGATGGCATTTTATAAGTTAGGAAGACTCTACTCCACTATGAATGTGTATCATCTGACATTTAACGAATGTTTTTTTTTTTTTCATTTAGTTGTAGCCACTTGAGTTCAAATTGGTCTTAATTTATTCTTATAAATATTCTCAACTATTATTTCTTTTGATATGGTGTAAGATCATTTATAATTTGATATTGTACTTTTAATTGGATTGTGAGTTGCTATTAGTGTATTTTACCACTATTTAGGAAGAGATAGGGTTGAAAAAGAATATAACTAAAGTTTGTGATAAATTGGAAAAAGAAAAACATCATTTAACCAAACATGTTTATATATGAAACAAAAACGTGTTTCTGTTTCGTTCCTCTAAAAATGCAGAACAAGTGTTTTGTTCTATTCTTAAGCCAAAACAGAAACGGATGAACAGCCAAGTAAGCTAAATTATCTTTTTTCTGTTTCTCTCCCGTGTAGAACCCCATATCCACCGGCGCCTTCTCACTCTCTATCGTCCAGCTCCGGCAGCCCATTTTGTGTGTAGCCATTTTTATTTTGCTGACTTCTCACCAGCCACATACAGTTGGAAACTCTAATTATTCCTATGTCGGCGATGGAGCCCCCGGGCATCGGGGGCGGACAAAACATTTCAATTCCCCATGGGGGTCCCATCTATAGCCCTCATATGCTGGGTCGCCTCACTAGGGTTTCTGAGTTTGAGAGCTCTGTAGTTGAACAACTTCAGGTACCCAAAGAAACGGAAATTTATTTATTTTTTGTTTATTTACTCTTTTTTTGACCTTTTTGTTTATTTACTTGTTTATGAATGTTTATTGGGTTTTTTTTTTTTTTTTTTACTTTTTGAGGTTACTTGCTAGTAATATTTGGCGAGTATTTGATAATGTACAGAAGAAAGGATTTTTTAAGGTTGCTTTTGGGGAAGCATTTCACTATGATGATTGATTTTATGGAATTTTTTGCTGTATGCATGTATTCAATTATAAATTTCGAGAGCAATTTTAATGTTTATTATTTTTTTTGAAGAATGCCCTTTTTAATGGTCTTTTTGTTTTAGGAATTTAAATTGTGCGGGATATTTGGGTAGTCAAACTTAGACGAATTTGTCTTTTAATGCAGAATCTCAAGGCAGAGATTGGTTGGGACTCGCTCGACATATCTGATGATGAAATTTGGTCAGTCTTGTTTTTTCTTCCCCTGGTGCCCACCCCCATGTATTTAGAATTAGCTGTGGTTGCTTTGCATTTTTTAACAATGAAGATATCTGATTTGAATGTTCTATTAGTTATGCTTACTCTTATTTTAATGACTTGCAGCGTTAATGATCTTAAAATAATTAAGGAGGAGGATTTGGTAAATCGGGCTTTTGAGGAAGCATTAAAGGTAAACTGTTTTGAGTTGTAATTTCTCAGAATTATCCAGTTTCTTAGGTTTTGTTTTCTTTAAAACTTTTAGTGGATAATGATAGGATGCGCAGCTGAAAGAGAATATTGCACAAAAATCCCAGGAGCAATCGTGTCAAAGGTTAGCGGACATTTCATTTCTTCTTGCTGATTTTGCTTCTTTCTAAGCTTATCTGATGTTTTCTACTAGCTTGAATGGTAAAATACCGTAGTTTCTTACTTTGCTTTTTGTTGACCGGGGAAGGGAAGCGTTACTGATGAATGGAAGTTTGAGAGATGTCATCACAAGTCTTTGGGATTGTGGTGCGGAAAAAGTTGGGTTAGTTTTAGGACTGTCATAATATGAAGGACATATTAGGTTATGAGATGTTACGTATTTGTGTGGTTTTGTACATAAATGGTTTAAGAAAGATTAAAATCAACAAGATTTTTGGAAGTCATTTCACTGCAATGCTTGCCCATTAGAGATACTGTAAGGCATATGGATCCTCATGAAAATTTTAGGTAGATAAAGTGAATCTCATTAGTTTTAGTTCAGCTCAGTTTTCTTAACTGCAGAAATCTTCATAGTCACTGTCTACCGTTCCAAAGCTGTCCCTAAGATCATATATTTCTGCTGCTAGTTGAATGTGAATTTTTCAAACCTATCCCTAGAATCATATAATTCTGCTGCTAGTTGAATGAGAATTTTCTATCAGCTGAACCATAGCAACTTATAAAAAACTAAAATAAAAAAGGCATTATGTATAATGTCAATCAGTGGTTTCTGTTCAACTTTGTTTGCATATCTGGATTGTGCAAACTAACTCTCAAAACTCTATCTTATTCTTCTCAGAGTTTTACAAGAAATAGTGGAAATTAAAATCTTATCTTATGAGTGTTGTAATTATAGCAAATCGACAATAAACTCCTATAAAGAATCACACATCACACATTTCATGCTTATCTTAGTGATATCTTATGAGTAATATAAAAGGGGAAAGGAAAATGGAAGGTTTCTTTACTGATCTTTTAATAAGAAGAGTACAAGGAGCAATTTCTGTTCATGAAAAAGCAATAGACTGCTGTATTATCACTTGACACTTTCGCATGGTTGCCATCTTTGTGTGTGCAAAACTCTTCTGAGAGCTACTTATTTCTTAATCTATGAGAGCTACTTATTAATTTCAATACCAAGTGTTGAGAGCGTTTCTACTTTCTCAGCATAGCTTTGTTCTTTTTTTTTTCTTTTTTAAGTAAGGCCACTGATTGTTTTGATTATGACCACTTCCAATTTCTCACTCTTTTTTTCAGATACTACCTCTTTATGTATTTAGCCTCCTTAGGCTTGTATGGGAACCAGATGATGGCAATGCATGTGCTATTCTAACTCTTTATGTTACTAGGTTGGAGGGAGGAAAGGATACTTTAGTTACTTGTGGCTCCTCAACTGGTGCTCCCAGAGATGTCAAAAAGACAGTATCAAATGATAATGTGTCGGAAAAGAGAGAGAGGAAGAGGCGTGTGAATCGGGAAACAGTTAATCTTGAAGTATGCTACCGGTTTTTTAATTTCTTTTTTCTTATTGCCATTTGTTCTGCTTCCAGATGAAAGTTATGTTAAACGTTCACCATTTGATAGAATTTGGTTGCTTAAGAAATACGTGCCTTTCCTTTTGCTGTTCCTCTAGGGCTAGACATGTTGATATACTTAAGATGAATTTGACATTCTGGATTGTTTAGTTGGGGGATCTGAATGTGATCCATATAATTAGCAAAACAAAAGGATGTGATTTTACCTCTTTGCGAAAATATTTAGGACTGAAAAATGCTAACCTGGAAAAATATTTACACAAATGAGGATGCCATTTTACCAATTTCAACCCTTGATTTTTGTGGAGAATTTTACCTCAATGTGATTTAAGAAATTTTGATGCATTTTCAGGAAGGGTATGTTGCAAAGGTGAGAGAACTCGCAAAAATTAAACAAAAACAAGATGAAGATAAAACAGCGGCAAGATTGCATTCATTCAAGTAGGCATCTGTTAACTTTGACTATCTGGTTAAAATTTGCATTCTTTCTTAGCTCTGGTCGTCCTTCTTGAACAATCGCTGTAGGTTGCTGCATTTTCTGATTTGCATCTTAGCTTTGGTGTTTTTTGTTTCATTTCAGTAGTAGTTGCAGAAATCAATCTGCTGCTAGTTCCCAGATAAAGAATGACAAGTTGACGTCACTCAAGTCAACAAGTTTTTCACCTAAGGTTTGCTTGAGTACGTGCCTTCTTTTACTGATTGATGTGTATCTGAAGCTGTGCAGTGTCTATCCACAATTGACACTTTAAGCATTTGGTTTTTCCTTTTTTTCATTTAGTATTCTGTTGAATAAAGCTAAATTTCCACTTCAGGTTTTTAGCTTATTTTCCCTGCAGATTGGAGCGAGTGAACATTAGATTTGTTTGCTATGTGAGAAACATGTTCTGTTTTCATTCCTCTACTGAGGCAAACTTATTTAGATGTGTTTTTAAAGTTTATTTTTAGAGTTTTGCTTAATTTATACATATACATATACAAATATATACAGATATACATATACGTTTATATATATTATATCTATGTTTACTTCTGTTTTGGCCTAATTGTGTTCCCAGAGAATTTCTGTGGTATTAAACAGTTCTTAATTTAATAATGAAAATGGCAATGTAAGCAATGAAGGGAATGCATGCTTAAGGTTATAGTCAGGCACCTAGTTATGGTACAGTGGATTTGTTTACATGTCCAAATGATTACTAGCATGGATATGCTTAGATTTGCAGATTTTATGTCAAATTGTTTCTTGTTAATGCTTTAACCTGCTCTAAGAGCATGATGGTTTTGAGTTATTTTGTTGGTGAAAGGCCGAAAATCTAGTCTAAGGTTTACGCACATCTAAGTTAGTGCATCATGACTTGATTAGCAAGTCCCATGAGAAGGTTAAAGTAATTTTTGCTCGAACGGTACTAAGCACTTGTTTGTGCACTATTTGCTTTTGCAATCCATTGTATACCTGATCAAGAAGATAGAGTTATTTTTGTAATTTTATGGATCAAGCAGTCAGTGGCTATGAAGCTTCTGTACTGTTTTATAATCATTAACAAGATGGTTTCTTGTTATAATTGGGATTTTTTGTAAAAATAATGTTCTTTAACCATATAATAGCTTGTAATAAGAAAATATATTGCATAGTGTAAATACCAAATATAGGGATTGAGTTTTAAATAAAGGAAAGGCTTATATAAGTACAAGAGTAATATATTAAGTTTTAAATTTAGAGGCCATTTTGGAAAATTGTTGGACTATACACATAAAGTGATCTGATCTATTTAATTTTGGCAGTCATGAAAATTATGCGTATACCAATGTAAATGGATAATAGGTATTCTAGGTCTAGCTATTCTGACACTCGGTGCAAACTAATCATATTCTTTACCGCTTTAACTGGTCACAGTTTTGATAGCTTAAATTCCTATCAAATTTATTGCAGGTGAGATCATCCAAGACTCCTGAGCAAGTTCCAGTTCATTTTCCTGAAGTCATTCTCTGCCTTGAGGTTTACCATAACAGACGAACATGGTCTAAGGTGAAGCACTGCTACATAGTACATGTAAAATGAGGATGCTTTTTTATGTTGAGTCATTTAATCATCATATCTCTTTAGATGGACCAAATTAATGGATTCATTTGTTTTGTTTTTTTTATCCCCTTTCACTATAAATAGACAAGTGGCACACGAGATAGCAATCTGTTACTTAAAAAATTTGTCCAACCAGGTATCTATAAAAGTGGAGATGGATTCTATAAGCCCAAAAATGAGAGTGAAAATGAACATGATTTTTCATTCTTCACAAACGGTTTTCAGTTCTTTTAGAGCTCTGTTCTTCCTTTCTCTCCATGGTAATCTCAACAACCAATTTACATACATATGTTCTGGCGTAACCTTGTGCATGTGAACAGATTAAATGTCACTTACAAACCCTTATAACCCATTGTAAAATGAGCACTGGATGGTTGTTATCTTCTCCTGTCTCATTGCACATAAAACGCCAAATTAGACAAATTAGTTTGCTCATACATCAGATATTCGGCAGTTAGAATTAATTTATTGGTAGCCTTTCATGCAGAGAAAGCAACATGTGCCATGTTACTATTCTGTTGATCATTGATTTCTGTGCTAAGGAAAAATTTATACCATTAAGTTTCTGTTGTGAGTTGTAATGTCAATTAACCTCCAAAATCTTGAAAACTTTGGTTGTTTGTGGTATGATTTTTAACCTAGAGTTGATTTTTGTCATTAATACTATTTCATATGTGGTTCCAACTTATCGAGGTGATGCTATTCCATTATTACTTGAGCTATTGACCAGATTAACTGTGAAGTAACATGCCTATTCTGATACTTGGTTTTATATACACGTGTGTGTGTGTGTGCATGCATGTGCACATTCTGCAGTACAAATTTCAGAGTCTTCCTTTAGGTGCTTGTAACCAGCATTCTACTGCTGTAAATGTTTGCAATTGGTTATGTGCCATCTGATTGCATGGTTGGTGCATTTAGTTATGTTAGTTAAGTGTATTTAGGTTTTTCATATTGCCTTGTGGTATCTTTGGGGGAGCTTCTAACTCTAGTACCTCGCATGTACTCTCAATATGTAAAGTTTGGTCCTTCGAACCCTACCTGAGCATCAAGCTACGGGACTGCCTTTTAGGTTTTATTTGGAGAATTATTTTGATTGGGTAATGCTCCATTCTTCACCAAGTGCTTCTTATTCATGTCTTGGTGAGACTATTTTTACAGTAAATGGAATTAAGAATAGCTGGATTGAACAAGATGCACACATAGCTTACACGGACTATAGCAGTTGTAATATTTTGGATCTTTATTCTAGTTTATTTGACTTTTTGAGTTTCTGTTTATTTTAATTTTCTCTCTGCTGGTCATCTTGTAATTTGCCACTTGATTGCTCTAAGGGAAAATAATGCCTTGTCCTAAGCTCAATGTTCTGGACATCTCTTCTCAAGGCTCTCAATCTTTGATCAATTATGTTATGTAGTCTTAATATATATCCTTGAAAAATAGCAGCCAACTCATGGGAGTTCTGCCCTCTTTTTGGTTTATTTTTCTTTCTCTTGGTTAGTTTTCACTGTAAGCTAAAAAGTTATGCCAGTTTTCCCTAAGAAGTGCATTATTTTAGTTTCTAAAGAGGAATATGATAGGAGAAAACTCTTTTTCCTTTTCAAAGACAGAATATTAATTGAGGTTGATATAGTTAAATCTGAGTTTAGTACTTACCATTTGAACTTGAAAAGTCGGAACTTACTGATTATGAGCACTCAAGAGTAAATTCAAAATTTGTTAAATTGAGTGTTGAATTTGAACTCTGACACTGTTTCTTATATGTTATTTCTTGCAATGAGAAATAGGCACCCAATAACCTATGAAATTGTCTTAAATCACCAAATGTAGTTCTGGTTGCATGTGAAAATGGTCTTAAGTGGTCTGTAAAAAGATATTTATATTTATTATTTTATTCTGAATCACACTTTGTTAATAAAATCAATGCAATTTTTTTTTTGGAATTGCACTTTACTCTCACTTTCATGGACTCTGGTGTTTTCAGAGCTTCATCTGGATTTGGGATTGTCTTTTTTGGCCCTTTGTCCCTCCCTCCTTTCAGGAGGGGTGGTGGGTGGGGACCAGAATCTGTTTGATTGATTTTTGTTCATGCTTTTACTCCCTGCTGAATTTAACTTGTACTTGTGCAATAAATTTTGTAGACACAAGAATTTTTGGTTCTTGGGCGACAGTTTTTGACTGAAGTGAGGGACATGATATATTGTTTGACCGATGAGATCATGAAAAAGGCTGGCAAGCATGATGCATCTGGATACTTCCTGGTAGAAGTAAGTGCATTGGCTTTCTTCATTACTGAAACCTTTGGCTGTTCTTCAGTTTCTCACTCTAAGAGAAGTGTACTTTTGGTAGGATGTGTTTTGCAATGACACGAGGGATCCTTATGCTATAGATTACTGTCAGCCCATTTTTAAGTGGCTAGAACACTCTAGGAATGTTGCACTTGAAAAATGGGAGTTCATTGTAGCTGGTGAACAACAGCAGCACCAGAAGCGAAAGGCATTTCTAGACAGCAACGAAAAACTACAGTTACCACACTTCAAAGTTGTTGACATGCAAAAAACTCGCTTTTGTGACCTTGGATTTCGACTGGGTGCTGGATATCTCTATTGTCACCAGGTATACATTTTTATATTCATTGTAGAAGTTATTCTTTTTCTGTTTAATAGTTGCCTTATCAGAATTGTGTGTTCAGGGAAATTAGAAAATTGTTGGAATACTTACTTTCCTGCTGACTTTGTGTTGCACTACTTCATACTCGTAATTTCATGCCATAGATTTGGGAGATGACTGCTCAAAATATCATGAATAATTTTTGTATTTGAGCAAATATTTACTTTTCATTGATCAGAAAACCTGCTTATACAAAGAGTCAGCAGACTAATTACACGGAAGAAAACACTCTATTAAACTATACAGTAAACAAATTCAACTGAGATTTATGTGGCAATCCCAGTTCCATGACTAACACCCAGTTGGTCTTAGTCGTAGGAAATTTTCCCCCACCAGCAATCACTGCCCTTCCTATAACCAATGCCATCATGATCATGTTAATAAAGATTGTTTCATGATTTCTTCCTTCCTCTGTTTTCTGCCAATTTGCCCATCTCTGTGATTCCTTTTTAACTGTCCCACGTGTTCAAGTGTTTAGTTGTCTCTCTCATGGACTGATTTCGTTCATCTTATTGTGCTCAAGGGGGATTGCAAACACCTAATTGTCATCAGAGACATGAGGCTGATCCACCCAGAGGATGTACAGAACCGAGCTGCTTATCCACTGATAACCTTTCAATCTAAAGTACGTTTTAGGAAATGCTCTGTTTGCAACATTTATAAGGCGACTAAGGTTACAGTTGATGACAAATGGGCACAGGAGAATCCTTGCTATTTCTGTGAGCTTTGCTATTACATGCTTCACTATGCAGATGGCTCTCTGTTGTATAGTGACTTCTCTGTATATGATTATCTTCATGAATAGTCAAACATAACTATGGTTAGAGTTTGCCGAGTATTCAATGTGTACTTTGGTTAGTTTTTAGTTTGTGCCATAACTGTGGTTTTAGTCTATTGGCGGACACAAACAGTAGAAAATGTATAACATAATCACGTACAATCCCACTCGTACTTAACAATTAATTATACACCAAAATAAAAAGGGAAATAGCTAGTTAAATAAGCCGATAACCGGCGAGCTTTAATTTGTGGCTAGCAGGGCCTATGACAGGAATGAGTTCTCTAGAAGGGAAAGTAGGGTAATTATGAGTTTCAATCATATTTGGAGCTTAAAGAGAGGGAACAAAAAAGAAATGTAAAGAGTGTGGGAGTTTACTGAATTGATACGTTGTTGTGGTCCTAATCAAGCTCGCATCTCTTTTGGATTGCTTCTATCTTTTAAAACTGTCTTCCAATTATTTTTAGGGCTTGTTTAGCAACTGAGGCTGCGTTTGAATTCTCTGTTTTTAGAAGTGTTTTTTAAAAATTTTACTGTATCAGTTTTTAAAAAATTACTATTGTCGTTTGGATTGCCGTTTTTGAAAAACGAGTATTTTTTAAAAACACATGCGTTTGGATTGAACAATTTTTAAAAAACTCTTACACAATAATACCTAGAACGGTCCAAATGTACAATTGGCCAATAACTTGAGATCATTGCAAATGTGCCACAGCTATAAAATGAATAATATCCGCAATTGCAAAAAATAAACAGCACACTGGCCGTAACCCTTGTCAAGAACGCTGCAATATCTTATCTAGTTAATAGTTTTTTCGTACACTAGCATTCACAAACGCTAAAAGTAAACCGACGAACTGAATATACAGGGGGTAGAGCAAAGTACTAGTCAAGACGTATAATATAAATATGCAAACCCGTAGTCGACATAATACATTAACTGTTCCCAAATTCAAAAATATTTGATAAATTACAACAAGTGAACCAAATATAAAGTAAGAAACTGTTGCCGCGATGGACCTATCGGTCCAAGGCTATGCACTGGAGTCTAATTATGTGCATTCCAATTCATGTGCGCCGCGATTGCCTGCCAATTTTCATTCCAGTTATTTATGCCCTGTTGCGATGTATTGATGGGTTGACCCATCTGCACTTGCTCTCCTACTATCTGTGCATCAGCAAAGGCTCCATTTGCAACTTCTTCATTGAAGTACTCATCATTTGGCACGTAATCCCGCATAAAATTGTGTAAAGTACAACATACAAGCACAATATTATTTTGCGTTGCTATGAGATAGTTCTGCATTGGACGTTTGAATATTGGAAAACGCTTCTTCAGAACTCCAAAGGTGCGTTCAATAATATTTCTAACCGATGCATGTCGCCTGTTGAACAGAACTTTAGCTACCCGCTCATGATGCGTGCCATGTGCACCTCTAAACGGTGCCATAAACCCCGACATATTTCTGTAGGTTGCATCTACCATATAATACTTCCCTGCCGAATAAATAGAGAATACATGTCAGCCTCCTGCTCATTCATATGGAAACCACTGCAAAAACCTTTCAAATAAATAATAAACTATTTCCTACTGCCATCACTGATAAGCAATCCGTTATCGAGCATATTCAAAAATAGCAAGTCAATAAAAATACCTTGCAGTGGTATTGGGAAACCAGAGTCTGGATCTAGCAAGGTTTCTTAGAGAATTCGGGCATCATGAGTTCTACCCTTCCAACCGACCCGAACATAGACAAAATGCATATCATGATCGCAGACAACAAGTACATTTTGGGATAAGTCGCCATGCCGATTTTTGAACCTATCTCTTATCTCTGCTCTGCACCAAGCGGAGACGTGGGCCCCATCTAAGACTCCTATACAATCCTATAAAAGTTCGATAGTTTTAAAATCATTCCAAACCGCATACGAAACCAAAAAAATCACCTTCTTTAAATTTACAACTTACCCAGAACCATGGCTAGAGCAATGCATTATTCAAAATTCTTGGATGAGTGTCATTGAAGTTTCTTGGCCTAACAAGATCACAACCAAGCCGAACCAAAACTCGTAAGATATGACGAACGTGTCGATCAATCGTCTCCGTTGAATGCTAGAACCGCTCGATTAGCACACGGTGCCGCTCATCATGGCTCAGGCACATTAGTGTTAAAGTAAAGGATTCGTGAACCCCCACCCTCCCAGAAGGATATGCATGCCAGTAACTCCGATGAACCAATAAATCGCACAACAACAGGAATTGCGGAACATCCAAGTGCATATTCTCAATAATTCGGGCTTCATGTCCGTTAATCAGCTCAAGCACGTAATCCCTCCTCGAGAGTGCACTATCTCGTACTCGTCATCTTCTTGGGACCTGATTAATATACGGATCAAAGAACATGAAACCTAATAGTACGACCGCCATAACGATGTTGTCGAGATCAATATCATCGAGCTCGTCATCCAGTTGTCCTCTTTGAATGTGCCCCAAGTTATCCATCCTAAGTCAACTATTTTGAACTCTGCAAATGCCCAATTTGTCAAAGAACATTAAGCACCAGAATAGGTAAACAATAGGTGAAAAATATCAAAACGCATTTTCAAAAAATTAGTAGATGTAATTAACAATAGCGAAAAATAAGGGAAGTAAACAATAGCGAAAGGAATGACCTGTCTCATATATAATAACATATGAAATCATGGCGCATTAACGCATATCATAAACTGATCATATAGAGTATGATATGAACGGGGCGGATATTTATAATAAGCATGCAACACAACCCCTAACAAAAAGAAAAATCACAACAACTGCCAAAGTAGTATGGCGAAAGAAATTTAATTTGGCAAACTTGGGCGATAGCAATAGCATACAACTAAATGTTCATCATATCTATTGTCAATACTAATTCTTGATCGTCTTCCTGTCAGTACAACTACATTTAAAGTCAACTCCTCGGTAAATAATAACCATGGGACACATGTCCTCCAATTAATATAGAGTAAATAAATTCAACCAATATTTCTAAACACACACAAATAAATTAACAAAAATATCCTCAACATAATAAAAAAAAAACTGTCTGGTCCGCGATACAGTGAAAAAATCACTGTTCAAAGTGGAATGTCAACTCATACTACATAAACCCAAACCAACATCGAAAATTTTAACTCGTAGGGAAAAAAGTAGAAGGCAGCCGCAGCCGCAACTCCGGAAACAACCCTGTGCAGCCCTATGCGGGGGGAAGGAAGCCACGATGTTTCACGAAGGCAAGCCGGTCATCGTCATTCAACCATAAGAACCAAATGAGACACTTCTCACGATTCCGCAGGAGATCGGCCATCTTCAGGCACATAGATACGCCCAGGTGAAGAGCGCTCAAGTCGGCCAAGGCAGCCTGTAGCTCCTCCTCATCATCTACTGGAGACTTTTTGCTCTTAGTGGGTGAAGAGACTGAACCGGTCATGCCAGAGCTCTTTTTACAGCTCAGATATGTCTCAATACTGTCTAAAATCCGGACGTATTTCTGGAATTAAGGGGAAGACGGCGGAAAGAATGACTCAGTTGACATGTCGTCCGATTTGCGCTTTCCTTTGCCCTTCTTCACCTTCTCCTTCCCCTTCTGAGGCACATGCACGGCTTCTTCTTCGCCTGCTAAATCGATGTCCACAATCCCCTTGCCCCTAGAACATCTAGCAGTGTTTTCCAATTTCAATTCGTCGGCCGAATTTGGGGGCGATATGACAAATCTAGAGCTAAAATGTCTAGTAACCCCCCGATTCATGAAAACTTCTTCAAGCAAATGGAAGACCAGACGTGAGCAGTTGTAAAATCTATTGTACCTCGGGTTCACCTACAGAAGACCAGAACAGCTTTGAGAAATAGGAAAAAAGAATAAATAGGGCCAAAACAGTTGTCATTAAACAGCTTTGACAAATAAATAGGAACCAGAAACAGCTTTACAGTATTTACAATAAATAAACAGCTTTGTAAAAAAATATTAAACAGAAAAAGTTGACGTATCAAACCTGAAGTAGACGATTCCATCGCTCATCGTCCATCATGAAGGTGTAGTTGGTTGAATCCCAACCCATACCAGTGTCTCGCTTCTTGAACGACATGTACAGTTTAGTTAGATTCTGAAGGGCATAATACTTCGACTGGACAGTATCGCGGGGAAAAACTACCCCGAAAGTCTCAGTGAGCATCGTAGTAATTTGGGGGACAACATGGCTGGTTATTTTTTCTAATGCAATTTCCCTATTCCTATGCATGTGCACAAGCTGTTGTGCAATGGCAGTTTTCATATCCGGCATGAAAGTATTACGTTCTTTTTGGTTTGGGTATCTTTATTTTCTTTAGGAATGTCAAAACCAGAAAAAATGCTTAGGCAGATTTTAAGCGAATAATGAACTCTTTGTTCAAGACAATTTGAGCCTAGTCACTTATAACTCACCTTGAAATAGTTAGTTATACAAAGAAGCAAATCGTTTTCTCCCTGAGCCGATTTGGAACAACAATTGTTAAATCCCCTAGTCGTTTTCAAAGCTGTGAATAAGAATGTTAAAAAGACGACTCCTACAGTTCTAAAGGATCAAAATTTAACAGAATTAATGAACCACAATAGTTGCTCCTTACCCTTCGAAGCACTCCGAGTCACAGGAGGCATCACAATCCTAAAAAAATGTACAAGGTACCACTAAAATGCTATTAGCAGGCCAAATGCATAAAATGTTAACAAAATATCATCCAATTTTATGTTCCAGGCAAATAAATCAGTTGTAGCCACTAATCAAAGTTCATCTCAGGTCATAATATACGGGGAAACAGTGTCACAGAATATAAACAGCTTCGCACCAGTAAAATCCTATAGTTTACGCCATCTACAGGTTCTACGAAAGGAATAAAAACCAAAAAGGCACGTTCAGGTCTTCCAGAAACGCATGCAAGCTAGGACTAATTAATGCATCAATTTCACAAGCCCACCTAATAAAATTGCAGTCAACAAGAACGGCATTGCCTCGAGTACTAGAACAACAGCAGAAATAATAAGTACTCCAACAGCAAAAATCAAATAACAAATCCAGAAATAAATCACAAGTTCAATGGTTTTCAGTAATCGATTGCAATAACCCAAGCAAAGAATAACGGGCGCTTAACATGTACAACCAATTCATCAAATTGTCTAACCAAAATTCATCAGTGTAGAAACAACACGCCACTTAACACATAACTGGCCCACAACTGATCTATTTAAGCTTACTCATTACATATGAGGGGAAGAGAACAAAAGCAAATAAATGGTGAAGCTGACGAAGTGGATGATTTAGAATTACTGCGGAACCAGAACATAACTCCAAATTGTAGCAAAAATAGCGCAGAATTACAAGTTCAAATTCAGAACCAGACATGTCGGCTGTGTTTCTTAAAATTTCCAATTCCCAACATGTCATTGGACCATTTCAAAATTGTTTCCTCTGTCTCTACCACATACTATCTGAACAAGCAATTTCACAGGATTTGATTGAACAAAAAAAAACGCATAAAATTACTTGAATAGTACAACGAACCTCCAAAGAGCGGCAGCTGAGCAGCGGCAGAACAACTCTCCTTCGCTGAGCAAGTAGCCGCGACCTCAGGGAGGCACTTCAAAGCTGATTATGTTGCTTCGAGTCTGGTAGTGGCCCTGCCGCTTCACCTCGATGGCTCTGCAACTTCAGATTTCAGCTCCTTCTTCACACTTTTGCAACGCCGAACATAAGCTGCAACTTCTAGAGGGAGAAGGTAAGATTGAACTTCCGGAGACGCGCGGCACCGAACCTCGACGGATTAGAAACAGTTAAGCTGAAACGGACGGTGATTTGTACAGATAGAGAGGCTACCTCGGTTGTTGCTGCTTAGAAGAGGACAGTGAAATGGAAAGTATTTCTTAGAGATACATTTTAGAAGAGGAAAATGGACAGCAACAAGAAAGGACAAGAAAGCTATAAGTGGAAAACTTGTTTTACATTTTGGGACGCTAAACGGTACCGTATCTGAGGAGCTTAACTGAACCATTTCAAATACACTTAGTTGACTATCATTTGTAATTTGACTACAAAAACTGTTTTTACCAAAAGGGTTAATTCCACTTTACCCCCCCAAACTTTGGACGATTACCCACTTTAGTCCCTAAACTTCAAAATGGGACATTTAAGTCCCTAAACTTATAAATACCTCCCAATTAAGGAAAATTGTTAACAGAATCTTGAATGCCGTGCCGTGATGGTCGAAGTGTCCCATTTTATAAGGGTTTAGGGATTTAAGTATCCCATTTTATAAGTTTAGGGATTTAAGTATCCCATTTTGAAGTTTAGGGATTAAAGTGGGTAATCGTCCAAAGTTTGAGGGGACAAAGTGGAATTAACCCTTACCAAAAATAGTGGATCCAAACATGACCTTAGTTTTTGCTCAAATTTGTCTCGTTTCAATTTTTTAACAAC